AACGAAGAAAATACCGATTGGTGCTCGCTGTAATGGATATACAGGTGGAGCATAACCATTCACACCGTTCTCCTCGATTGGCATCACCGGTTTACGAAGATTTGTGATGTTGTACTGATCGTTATCCGCTTCACCGCCACCTTCCACATCGTATGGCCTCAGGTTGTCGCGATTGAGATCCTCGGGACGTACAGGCTCAAACGGAGGTGTCTGTCGTCGGGTGTACACAACCATCAGAAGAACCAACACTGCAAATTGATTAAATTTCAGGATGTTCCTCTAATGAATTCAGATATGTTAGGGCCGTCAAGCTGACCAGCAGTGAAGCAGCTTTGATAACAGCAACGAGGAAAAACTCACAGGCTGCGCATACACCAGAAAAATGCACTATGACGAAACGGTAATTTACTAAAATACTAAAATGATTGAATTTTTGATGATAATTTGAAATGTGAATTAATTTTGGTGGTATTTTTGCCAGTAATGGAAATGGTGTTTTAAATGCCTCGAATCAAGATCCAGAATTCGATATCTTTTCTGACAATGAAAAATGCCGACTTGCATGCTCGGATAAAGACCTGACTCTCTACAGGTTGCTGCTAAAACTTGAGCCCTCCAAAAACAGATTTCCGTAATAACACACGAAAATTTTCCTTCCAAAAACGGCTAAACCAAACTTTCAGCCTTCAAGCATCGGCGAAGACGAGAATCTCTTCAAAATGTCTCCGCGAAGCCCCACTAATTTCTCGGTTCTTCTCTATGTTTCCGTCTCACCTTATTGCTGCGCTACGACGAGGATTTGACAAGGGCAATTGTAAATGTTGAAGGGCTACATCGTCTTTTTGATCGAATAAGAAGATTGGCGGGTCGCGTGAATGGCCGCTTTTGACGGCGTTTTTTGAGCGGCAATGTGTTCTGGAGATACAAGACGTATTCTAGCATTTGGGTGCTCTCGACGCTGTACCCCGCTACTGTATCTTTCGACGCATCTATTCCGACGCTATTTTTCAGCGCTGTAATTTTCGGCGCTATTTTACGGCGATAATTTATGACGATCGAGAGTTTGATTGAGCATCTTAACGATGCCGGTAACGATGGCAAAACATTTGGGGTAAACTTTAGCACTTGCGCATAAGTTCGCCACAGTTGGCCGTGGTATTACGGTACATCAGTTCCTTGCGATTTCCTCTAGCTGGGTTTTTATTTTGCCTGTAATTTGTGTCCCCATGAACAGAGAACATGTTGATTTGGCGAAAACTTACTGATCAACAAAAGCAAGCATATCAGGATAAGAATGATAGCGGGGCTCGAGATTCCGAGACTGCTGACTGCTAAGGTTTCGCCACAACCAACCAATTCACCATCCACACCAAGAAGCACCTGCAAAAAATCAGACTACTCCAGAACTGCTTAAAGCCGAAGGCGATTGTAAGCTTTCGACGCTTGATACGGGGACATCCCAGTATTATCAATAACATGAGATATTCACAGTGACGACGCTTGGGTGAACTTGTTATTCTTAATATCCAGAATTTTAATTTGTCTAACTGTTGAAGAACTCACCTGAGCTCCTTCCGGACACGTACAGAATGGTCCCTTCCAGAAATCAACACAAACAAACGAGCCACCACAATACGTAAATCCAACATTAGCGCATGTCCTTCGCTGTGGACAGCCCAGCTCCACACCTTTTGACTGCTTGATTGTGATAATCGACTCTGTACCACTTTGGCTATCGCTACTGCTACCGCCATTACCATTCGATGATGAGCTATCAGCATTTTTGTTGAGAGGTAAATTGATATGTTGCCATCGGAAGGTACCAACGCAACCCTAAAACAATGACAGAATTTAGTAAGATTAAGCGAACGGCAAAGGTGCGAAAAATTTTTTAGTGCTAAAATTTTGATATTTTATTTTTTTCACATGCTCTACTCCATTTTTCAAGCTTTTATTGACTATACATAATTTTCTAGAAAATTTGCTATTTTTGGCATTTCATCCAGTCAAAGAAAATTCCCCCCCCCCCCGACTTTGATTTTTCATTAACCAAAAATCACGAAATCGAAAAAGAAACCAAAAAAATCGTAAAACCAATGCAATTTCAATTCAAGTCATTCAAAAACCATGTGGTTTTTCAGAAAAGTCAATAACTGTTAGCACAAACTGATAGCAAATTCATACCAGGTAATTTACTATATATAAAAAAAAACCTAGTAGAAAGCGCACCGGCTGCCGGTATGAGGATGCGTTTTTTGCGCAGTTCCCCCGCAGGCTTTTTTCGCCAGCCGCGCTTTCTTCCTGGCAGATGCTTCTAGCTAACAGAATTGGGACTGGCCACCACAACTGTTAGCAATCATTACAATGACTCCCAATCCATGCCCAGAAGATCCAGTGCTCTAGATGCTCCGTTTGCACAGCTATGTCAAATTTTACGTGTTCATACGTGAGTGGCTACGTGAATGCTTTCTTCGCCTGCAGTTGCTCAAACATGGTCCTAGGTAGCGCTCAGAAAGTTTCAGCACTCCAGCTGCTCTGGTTGCAGATTTGCGTCAAATTTCACGTGTTCGTACGTGAGTGC